AGAGAATAATAAATTACAGTCAAGAATGAAATTGTTCTTTTACTGCATTTAAAGTTTACTGCCCTGCATAGAAAGGTTTAAATTGTGAACCTCCTAAATGCCTATTATTTTACTTTAAAAAATATAAAATAGTGTTATACAGCAAGTAATGAGTAGATAAGCAATTACTAGTTCATAGAATCCCAAAACATATACTCATTTAAAAAAAACCAAACACATAAAGATTTTACATTTCAACAATCTATCAGTTGCCCTGTTAAGTCATCTAATTGTTTTTCTTAAAGCAGCTTGAGGAAATGTGATAATCAGTTTTGATGGCAATATAGCTTTTCTTCATTCAGTTGTTTGATTAACAGCAGATATTTCAGGTGCCTTAAAAATGTAAATCCTTAAATGACATCATAAAATTTTGAGATATGTTGAAAACGAAATGAGAATTCAAACTACTGCAAAATACGGTATTGCTTTCTCAAACATCACTTCTTGCAATTATGAAAGTCAGCTATTAGAAATTCACAGTCGTAGTATTAGCAAACTGAAAGTAACAATAAATATGAACAACTTGATTTTCCTTTTACACTGACAACATTTTAAGATTCTTTTGTGAATGCTAAGAATGATTAAGGAAACGAGAGGAACTGGTATTTTTAATCCCCATATTACCTAAACTGGGGAAAACAAAAGGAAAAAAGTGACTTAGAACAGCTCATTACAAAAATATGGTCCATCTATAATGTTTAGTCTTCTCTAACTGAATAGCTATTAAAATATTTATTGAATCAATGTCTGTCTCTGTAATGTGTTCTCATTTTAGTAGGAAAGGCATTCTTACTAGGTAAAATCCAATTTTCATGGAATCATAGAATAGTTTGGGTTGGAAGGGACCTTTAAAGGTCATCTAGTCCAACACCCCTGCAATGAGCAGGGACATCTTCACCTGGATCAGGTTGCTCAGAGCCCTGTCCAACCTGACCTTGAACTGGGCAACTGGTTCCACTGTTTCACCACCCTCATTGTAAGAAATTTCTTCCTTGTATCCAGCTTAAATCTATCCTCTTTTAGTTTAAAACCATTACCCCTAGTCCTGTCTGCAACAGGCCCTGCTAAAAAGTTTGTCCCCATCTATGTTATAAGCCCCCTTTCAGTACTGAAAGGCTGCAATAAGGTCTCCCTGGGGCCTTCTCTTCTCCAGACTGAACAATGCCAACTGTCTCAACCTGTCTTGCTAGGATAGGTGCTCCAGCCTTCTAATATTTTTTGTGACTCTCCTCTGGACTGCTCTAACAGGTCCACGTCTTTCCTATGTTGAATGCCCCAGAGCTGGATGCAATGTTCCAGGTGGGATCTTGTCAGAGCGGAGCAGAGGGGCAGAATCACCTCCCTCAACCTACTGGTCATGCTCCTTTTGATGCAGCCCAGGGTATGGTTGGCATTGCAGGTTGCGAGGGCACATTGTTGGCTCACATCCAGCTTTTCATCCACCACTACCCTCAAGTCCTTCTTGGCAGGGCTATTCTCAGTCAGTTCATCCCCCCAGTTACTACTGGGGTTGCCCTGAGCCACGTGCAGGACTCTGCACTTGTCCTTGTTCAGTTTCATGAGACTCACATGGGCCCACTTCTCAAGCTTGCCCAGGTCCCTCTGGATGGCATCCCATCCCTCAGGCATGTCAACCACGCAGTCTTTTTGCTCTGTCAAAAAGTTTATTAATTCTTTTCCAGAGAGCTACAACTACGACCTGAAAATATGGGACTTCTAAGGAGAACATTCTTATTCAAGAAACACTGTGTATGACAGCAGTGGGACTGAATAAGATGTTTTAGTTAAAAACACTGAAAAATTTAGAACATTACCTTGGAATCTGATGTTAACTGCAGTATAACAGTAACATTTGTGGAGAAATTTGGAGATAGAATTTGTCTTTTGAACATAGTGCACTTTTTAAAATCAAAAGTCACTGAAAAATAGAAAAACAAAAATCAGTCTTATAATTTGTTAATGCGGGGTTGTAGAACGGATTCTAAAATTATTCTGGGGTTTTAAGTTTATTTTCCAAATGTTCTTGAAGTGAAAAGGACATTCAGATAGTGCAGCAGTAGGTGAAAGAACAAAAATAGTGAGACAATGACTGGCTTGACTCATATGTTCACTATGGGGCAATAAAGGGGGAATAGAGTAATAGTGACTTGACTGGGATTTTTCTTTGAGAAACTTTTAGGGGAAAAATTTGCACCCAAGGATGGCGTTAATTTGAGAAGAATTATGCACATTTAACTGAATAGGTTTAATTTTATTCTGTTATGATGCATATAAGTTTCTGAAAATAAGGGAGATCTGATTTTCAGGGAAAGTACTTTTTGGCCAAATTATTTAAGGAGATGAGATGGAAGCAGTGGAAGAGATATCAGAAACATACAGAAAATAGCTGAATGGAAATTTTGTCTGAAGAGGTTTTAGTATTGGATTTTTGCAAAAACACACTCTAGTAGGTGGAGGAAAGACTCAGTGGATTTCTGGAATTTTATGTGTTAGATAACAAGAAGGTGATAGGAGTGAAATGGAGCACCATTTTTACTGGGCAAAGGCTGGACAGTATGTGTTGCCCACTTGGACAATTCATTTAGTGTAAACTTTGGCTGTTAAATATTTAACTGAATTGCTGTGATTTTGTATGTGTATTGATCACTGTACAGCTAAATTGTTAGTGCTGACAACTTCATCTTTCTATAGCTCTGATTTGGTGATCTCAGTGAAATGAATGTATGCCCCAAGAGAGCTCTTCATTTAGATATGTTTGTGGAATAAAATTAGCATTCTTAATTTCATAAGATGTCATTCAGTTGGGAAGTTTTAATGAAATGTTGAAGATTGAAGAGACCTCACTAGTATTAAATTTACTTAAAACTTGTCCTCCCTAGTCTGCTATGTTGTATTTTTTGTTATTGCATGTCGTTCACATGTCAGTGTGAACTGCTCATTGTTAGCTGAAAGATGTAGGAGTGACAGATAGTAGGCATCTGCAACCTGAGTTAAGCAGCAAAAATCCAACAGTTGCAAGGATATGGATAACGCTCTGTTATTTACCCATACATGAATGATACCCAGTTCACTTTTTTAATAGCAGGGTCTTTCAGAACTCTTGAAATGCTGAAGCAATCTCAGAACTATTAGTGATTATCTCTGGGAGTTTGAAGAGCTTAGGTGAGGCAGCAGCAGCCTGGAAAATTTTGTGTTGCTTTTTGAAAAGGCAGGAACTGGATGACCCAAGGAATTATGTGGCAGTCAACTTATTTTGGATTCCAAGAGAATTCTTAAACAAATGGTGAATATATCAATTTCTAAACACCTAGAAAATAGATATGTATTTAAGAGCAAACCAACTGATTTTTTACTGTGACAGCTCACGGGAATAAGGAATAAGCAAAAGATTTCATGCATCCTAACTTTCATAGGCTTTTAGTAGTGTTTTAAATTCTGATATTCAAGTGACAGAAGAGGGAGAATGTAAATCAATAGTTGCCAAACATACAGGGATATGGATTTGCTTTCAACCCTCAGTATCTCAGGCCACCTGCCATCATTGTCATCAGACTCTTAAAATCACTGAGAGTGATAAAGTTGTGTGCCTCATTTGCTCATTACTTTTCATGTTATTATGGAACATATGTGGAAATCTAGACTGGTCTACTTTGAGTTGTTTAAGATAATTGCACAGGAGATGGGGGAGTTTATTTCATGTCAACATACCAAGGTGTTAAACTTACAGAATATATCAAAAGCTTTTTCACAACTGTCAAGTGTGTTTCAGGTATTACTCAAAATGCTATTTTCTTCAGTTATTTCAATATTTCAGTGAAGGGAACGGATTAATAAGAAGCATTTCTGATGCATTTTCTGTAAGTACCAAAGGCCTTGGGCATTTTGTAGGCTGAGGTTTACTAATTTGGGTTAGTATTGCTGTTATGGATTGGATCCAATTACTAATTTGGATTGGATCCTACTATTTTGTAGGACAATAATAATATTACTATATTGAAGAAATGGCATAAAATTATGCGGAATTCAACAGACATGGGTGCAATACTTAGAGAGGAGTTACAAATACATAAGATGGGAGTGCCTAACTGAGCAGTAGCTCCTGCTGCCAACTGCAGTTGTGACCACTGTGGTCACAAGCTGAACATAAGTCACCAGTTCTATAGAACCTGAAACATCACAATAGAATGTTTAAGCCTCGTACTGGAAGTAAGGCCTGAAAACACATGGAACAATCTTTCTGCTTTCTTCAGCTTTGATGAGACCTGAAGAAGTGTGTCTAACAATGAACACATGTAGTTAAAAGAGCATGAGCCTGAATGGGATGGAAGAAAACGAGAAGTGCAACTGAAATTGCAAAATTGAAAAAAAACAAACCGAAAATTCTTTTCACAGAATCACAGAATTTTCAGAGTTGGAAGAGACCTCTAGATATCATCTAGTCCAACTCCCCTGCTAAAGCAGGATTGCCCAGAGCACATTATTCAGGACTGCATCCAGGCGGGTTTTGAAAATCTCCAGAGAAGGAGACTCCACAACCTCCCTGGGCAGCCTGTGCCAGTGCTCTGTCACCCTAACTGTAAAGAAGTTTTTCC